TCTCTTTAGAGAATAGTCGCACAATTTTTTGCAGGGATATGACGCACTAAATTGGTGTGTGTGTGTGTGTACCTTTGTGAGACAGGCGAAATGAACGGAAAGCATTTTAGATGTCCAAAGGGCGTTCTTATGCATTGGAGGGTGTGTGTTGGGGTCACATTTCAATGAATTTGCGATACAAGTAACTGGGAATAACCCACTTGCTGTTTACAAATGAAAATCTTTTGTCAGTACAAATAACTACAATAACTAAACAAATATATCTGCTCAAGTGTGTAGGAGAATTTGTATAGAAATTTGGTGCTCATACAGCTTATTTACTCCGATTATTTACATAAAAATGTGGCAAATATTACATATTTTATTGATGGGTCGCTCGCTTATATTCTTCTTGCCTTTGCGTTAATACAAAACCATCATCATAACTTTGGTATGTGTTCATTTTTATTTCCATAAATCCAGCACCCGGCCGAATAGAAAAAAAAATTAAATAAATTTAATTGTGGTGAATTACTTAACATTTAAGTGGCGGTAGAGATAAACTGCACTGCTGGTGGTAGTAATGGTGTTAGCTGAATGCAAAACAGTGGCGACAAGTCTTCGGTGTCCTTCTGTATTTGACGGCTCGCTCAGATATGCATATTTCCATAAGTATACTTGTATGTTTGAGTGTTATTTTGTATGAAGGTATAACAGTTATTTTACTCTCCCAAGCACAAATTTTCGTAAAATTGAGCATCAGAGCTATGGAGAGTTTTAAAAATTGTGAGGTGAAATGAGGTGCATAAGGTTAAAATATGTTAAATTAAAGATGCTGCAAACAGTCTGTTGCTAGAAATGTTAACAGTGGAAAGTGGAACGGAATGAAATGAAACGACGAACTGAATATCAAATGAAATTAGCTTTATGATAAAATTAACATGGTTAATCGAATTAAGAAACTAAAACGGAATTAACTGCGTTTGAGGAAAACATATTGTATGGATCATGATAAAAGTATAGTAAGGTAGAACCACTTAGAGACTGTTTTGGCATTTTTGACGTTTTCAAGCTTGTAATTTTAAAATTTACTCACAAACTCACACACACATTCTCATTTACAAACTCAAACAACAAGAATTTTGAATAAACTAATTTTTTAATTTGCAGTTTTATATGGTTTTAAAATGCTGGAAAACTTCAAAAGAAAAAAAACATGGCCGACGAATTGAGAGAACGATTCTACCTTACTATGTATTTATCATGGTATGGATGGTGGTGAGTTTGAATAAAATTAAAGTGGAAAGAAAAAAATTAAACTAGTTTGAGTGGGGAATACAACGAAAGTGTTTGAAATATAATTGCATGAGCCCTATTGATTCGAACGTAATGACATGGAATAGACGGAAATGAATACCAATCGATTGCATTGAAATGGCTTGGAGTGAATGCTAAGAATTGGAATTGAATAAATTACTGAAATGAAAAGTAGGGGAATTGAGTAAAACGAAATGAAGTGATGGGAAATCAACTGGAATGGCGTACAATTGAATCAAAAAAGAGACGGAGTGGAGTAGAATGGAACGGAAGGAAATGAAATTGAAGAGAATGGATGATAACGAAATGGAACGGAAGGGAATGCAATGTATAGTGGAACGGAAAGAAATAAAACATTAGAGAATTGAAAAAAATATAATCAAATGGAATGGAATGGAACTCATAAAAGGAACACAAATTCAATTGTGTAAAATGAAATAAAAAGAAATTATGAAGAAAATGTTATGATGTGGAATGTAATGGAAAGGACTGATGGAATGAAATTTAAATCCATTGATTGGAACTTTATTAAAGAGACAGGAATAAAATAAAATGAAATAAAATAAAATGAATGCAATAAAGTGGAATGAAACGAAAGTGAACAGAATGGATTGGAATAGAATAAATAGGATAAAATCGAATGATATTAAAAGGGATGTAATAAAGTCAAATGCAGCTAAAAGGATGGGAATTTAAGCAAAAGAAGGTATGTGCTCAAATCTTTGTATATCTATAAGACATCCTTCAGTGGTATTCCACCAAAAACGGCTTGCTCAGCATTTTGTTGTGCTCCATAATAGGAAGCATTTGAGACTCGCTATGGAGATGGTGCTTAGGTGAAATCAGAAGGCATCCTGTCGCTGACCGTAGTGCGACGTTCTGACAAGTGTACACCTTCGTCTACTGGGTCCAACTAGTCCATGGCGACCAAAACGTCGCAGCATAGCTCAGAACTGGCCGGCCAATTGCCTTGTATGTTGCCAAGAATATTTCCCAAGGTTGAGGACATTGTTACAGCTCGGCAGTTTATTGACAATTGCAGTTGTACGTGCCGAAAAGGAGAGCAGGCTACCAAAGGTAACCTTTAAGATTTTTGACTTTTTCACCGTCGACGGGATTGCCTAGCTCAAGGCTGACCTCGTTCGCTCAGATGGTGAGGAGAATCGTCATTGATTTCGTGGGGGAAAGGGCTAGCCTCCGTTCAATGAAGAAGGGAGAAATGTTCGGAGATGTAGCTGCTAACTTTTACATTCCCACGATAGTTGGTTCTACGTTCTGGTTTTTTGATTCGACCAAAGGCTGTCGTTTCGGCGACCTAATCCCATTTAGATCGGTGAACCCCACTAACAGACCTCGCTGAGATCAGTTTCAGGTATACTTAAAATTTCGATATATGATTTCATTTTTCCTTTAAAAGTTTATTATAATTTCAAATAAAACCTACCCATTAACGCAGATAAAGGTACAGGATTTACTACTTATGTGCCAATAACCAGAGCCAATCAGGACTATACAAATTTTAATCTAGAAGCAATTTATTAAATATACCCGGCATGCTTCAATGCGACATAAAAGTATTTTTGTGCTGTTTGATACACGTACTTTCAAGCAAGTGGCAACCCTCCTCAAACATATTTCCGGCAGTAAACTTTCCTAAACCTCTCCACTTTGATACCCATATTGCAATATTAAATTTATCTTATCAATTAAATTAAATTAAAATATTCAAATAGGTGGTAACCTTTAACAAAAATATTTTCGGTTGTAAGCCTCTCCAAACCTCTTTTTTTGAAAGCCGTATTGCAATATTTCTTTATCTTATCAATTTTACCTAAACTGCAGTTTTCAAACAGGTGGCAACTCTCCAATATTTTTCTTTTTATATTTTAAGTTAGGCCTATAGAAATACGTCGGTGAAAATTTCATTCAATTATATGAATTAGTTTCGGAGTGATGCGCGTACAAACATACAGACAGACATACAAAAATTCTAAAAATTTATAATTTGGTTTCTGTAACTCTAGTAAAGACCCTCCCATATTAATTTTATTTTAATATCTAAAATACACAGACGTCGGCCTATTAAAATTTTATTATATGTATAGATTAATAACATAGGATCATTGGCCTTTAACACTTGGGTATGAATGTAAGTAGATTCTTAAAAAAATCACCACACAAATTTTAATATATTGTCATTTCCTCTGTAGATATGCAAAATAAGGGAATTTTTCTCTTACACATGTTTTCCCCTTTTCAATTGGGAGAGTTATTGAATTAACTGTTAAGCAGAAGAGGATGTGTCCGGTTGAGAAATTAAATGCAAAAATTGAGAGTAAGAGAACGTTTGGTAAGATTGGGTTAGATTTTATTACCTTTGCAATTAAAAAACAAGATTTAAATACGAGAACAAGTAGATAACTTTAAATGAAATTTATAAAATCTTCTATTCTTCCACATATCTTTAATACAAGCACGAACAAATAGAGCCACCACCCTTTTTGTGGGCAATAAAAGATCCGCTTAAACCCAGTCGTAAATAAGTGCAGAAAACATTGCTTCAAAAAGTGGCGAAGCAAAGGTTAAATGGGTAAATGTCTCCCCACTTCAGGTGGAGAGAGCTAGATTTTGAAATTATGATACAAGTATTCTCAATAAAAACTTAGCAAGGATACAGCATATGGTGAGCAAAATTAATATACGACGCTCAGCATGAGCGTGCCAACCTATTTATAACAGTTTAGAACAGCTGATTTGCAGACATTCGACAAAATTTGCAAGAAAAAAGTGAGGTTATTTTTAACGCAAGTTGGGTGAGCGGCGTGGGCTACTGAGTGCCGGCGCCTTTCTTATGGGCATCAGCAATGGTATATTCGAGTAAAACAGAGTGCACGAGAGGACATTTGAGCTACCACAGCTTTGACCGGGAAAAGTGTATAACAAATTTGACCACACGCCCAATTTAGCGAACGAACGGGCAAGCAACGAGAGATGGTGTCGTGAGAGTATCTGGCGATAAGCGTAAGTAAGCGGCCATCAACGATGAGCGCAATGGTGAAAGCGGCGAGCACGTACAGGTCGAAAACGATGACTTTGGCTTTGGTAGAAAGCATAGCAAGCATGGCGACAGGGGGCGGTGGCGGTTGCCATGGAAAGCACGATGATATGTAGCCAATGTGTGGGCGATGGGGAAGGGAAAAAATGAAAGCACAGGCGACAGCGTGATTTGGAAACTAGTCTAACAGCGTCTTTCGTAAATGACACTACGCTGTCGCGTTGTCGTTCGCCGTTCGCTAAAGCAGCTGAGTGCTGGTGAAAGGAATTTTTGTGTTCAAAGTAAACTAAAAGCAAACGTACGTACAAACAAGTATATTGAGTTTTCGGTGTGCAAAATTTTCATTTTTTTTTTATTTGCGTAAATTGCAATTTGTTGTGCAATAATTGAATAAAGCAAATGTGAGGTTTAACACAAATACCGAAAAGTGGAAATGTGCGTGCGCTGAAGTGTTTCACGATTGCCTCAATCGAATTATGGAGGTGTAATCAGCTGTACCGTGGAGACATTCCAGCAGATGCAGATGCTGCAAAAACACGCCCAAATGCGTGGAGGTGTTAAGAAATTTGGCAACAATTAACAAAAAAAAGTCAAAATTGCAAGTCATAAACGTGGGTGGCTAAGAAACTGTAGCATAACAAAATGTAGAATAAGGCAGTTGAGAAGATAGAGAAATAATGTCAGCTAGTGCTTCGTAGTGCACAAAAAAAAAAACAACAAACAGTGCAGAGTGTTATACAAAGAAAAACTCGAGAAGGTCGTTCGTGAGAGTTAATAGAGCAGCTAAAATGTAAACAAAAAAAGGCAAAAGTTGTTGAAAAATTTTACAAAAAGTAAATGCAATGAATCAAGATTTCTGCTACATACACACATAGATGAGTAAGAAATTAAAACAAAAAATTTAGTTAAAGTGAAAGTGATGCGAAATTCTAAACTAAAACGAAAACAAGTTTCTCTCTTTTTAACAACACAAATATTACCAAAAATTTACCCAAAAAAATAGAAGATTTTTTCGAGTGCAAAATAAAATTAATATAAGCTGATGTGTGATTAATGAATTTGAAAGGATTAAAAAATTCAAGATGTTTAAAAAATAATAAAGTGAAAAATTAAACTACATTTGGTGAATGACAAACAAAATCTGCCTTTTAACGCAAACATAAATATCTATAAGTTAAGTGAAAATAAACAAAAATTTGTGTAAATCAAAAAATCAAAAAAATGGTGTGAAATTTTTAGACGATGCAAATGCCCGTTTAATATTTTCGTGAAGCAAAACATAAACTACATTCAAGAAGTAATTGTAGCTACGAAGTAAGCAACAAAACACACTTGTACAATTTAAAACTTACAATCAAATTTTTTAAATTTTCAAAATTAAAGAATTTTGGACAACGTGGAAATAGAGAAATTAAAAATAACTTAAAGGTAAGAAAGGTGTTGCTTTTTAAATATGTAAATTATCCATAAAATACAATAAAAATTTTTTAAATTTTCAAGTTTCTAATGAATCTCAATGCTTATGCTGGATTTCCACTATTCATTAAATGGCAAAAATGACAAATGACAAAGTCGGGAATTAAAAAATAACCGTTTCATTACATTAAAACCATAGTCATCAAGTTCATTTCCACATGGCATTTTTTTAAATGGCATGCATTTTTTGTCATTTCAATGCCTAGTGGAAATTCGGCATTAGAATTGGGCTTACAACGTCAGCTTTGGAGTAAGGAGTGCTTTTATTACATTTTACATGTACTAGCACGTATTTATGTCATCCAGAGGACGTGTTTATCACATTAAGAGCGCGTCCAGTTAGCCGGTCCATTTACTGGCATAATGTAAACCGGCACTGACATGAACTCATTCTAGTAAAAAGTTCATGCCAATAAATATCATCTACCCCTCTACTTTTCATGCGCACTGGCATAGTATAGACAGCCAATCCACTGGTATGCTAGTGCTTTCAGAACTTAATACAGGTGCAGTGAACTGATATCTATATGAAAATAAGTTGAAAATTAAAAAATTATTTACAAAATAAATAATAACGTTTCAAATGTAATAATTGTAATAACATTTGGTTGTAGTGGTTTCCAAAGTGGTCCCGGTGGACCCCAGAGGTTCACGGGATGGGGGTCTACGTTGGCGCGAGAAAAAAAAGGGGACTCACAAGTTGTAAGTGGGGGTCCACGAAGATTTATCTAGTTTCGATAGTAATGAACAAACATTTTGGCTTGGCTTTACCTATCAATGTAGGCAGATAAAACACTACTAAAAAAAAAAAATTAAAGGATAAAAAAATATCCAAATTTTTTTTTTTTTCAGTTAGACCAACATATGTTTTTTTTAGCTTTAGTTTTAATTTTTTAAAACCTCCCTTAATATTTTTTGTAATGTAGATTATTTTAAGACAGAGTTAGCAAACATTTTCCACTGTGGAATAAAATTTCCATCTTCCTCTTCACTATAACTCCTCCAGTTTTTTCGTATCAATATTCACCCCATGGAAGCCAACTGGTGGGGAATTCCCCGATTTGTGGGGAATTTGAGTTTGCGTGAGCAATCGGGGAATTGGGGAATGTACCGTATTGGGGGGAATTTAAGTTTACGTGCAGAATCGGGAGATAAACTGATAAAAATTAATCTTGTTAATAAAAAAAAATTACAATTGTTAAAACTTGCCTAAATTTGGCGCGACTAAAATTTTTTCAACCACTGTATGTGTGTAAACATTATATGTAAATTTTTTTCTTCATTTGTTAACTAACTTTATAAAAGTTTGGTTTGGTCTATGAATACATACATAGATGAATTATATTAAAAAAAAAAACAGACAGACCAGCAATATGTCAAAACACACACACATTTTTTTTGTAAATAAGGAGATATCCATGGGTTGGGAATTTTACGAAACTTCCGGCAAAATCGGGGAATTTTATTGTCGAAATCGGGGAATTCCCAAAAATGAGTCAGCTACCCCTCGCTTATTAGGAAATCTTTTTATTTATGCTTTAATTTTGATGCGCTGCGGTTCAGTTGTCTCACGTTTTGTGTTTCGCAAATGGGAGTAATACAAATTTTTTGGCATCGCTTTAAAAGTCGAAGCGATGTAAATAAAAGTGATGCCATCAATATGAATAAACTCATTGAGGAGTTCATAGGGAAGAGAATGGGCCTCATGCATAAAGAGTGAGCTTAAGCTCAGACTCAGTTTCAGTTTACACTGAAAGGGTGAGCTAAAAAAAAGAAAACGTGACTGCTTGAAGCATATTGTGGGTTCTCATTACCATTAGGCCGTACTGCTGCGAGAATAGAATAGGCTTTAGCAAGAAACGGCCACAAATAATGTGCCAAGTATATTCAAGATTCAAACTTGGCCAAGATTCTGCAATTTAACGTCTTTGGATTTATTTTTGTTGAGCTATGTAAAATATTGTTTTTATGCTAATAATTCCACATCTTCAGAGCTATTAAAGTCTAACAAGCTATTGCACGGATTATGTGAAAAATCACCTTAAAATGATTAGGTAGATTCCCTTAAAGGCGAGGAGAGGTCATCTGTATTTGAATGATGTTGTTTGCTCAGTATAATGGCATACTTAAAAGACAATTTTTTACGTGTTAGTTACTGGTGCGCCTATGCATAAGTATTCTTCAAGCGAAAGCTTTGTAGAATCATATTTGCATGAATTGACATCTGCATTCATCTGCACGTGTATGTCATCATAAAAATCCATTCACATTAATCCAATAAATGTGTACCAATTTATATTTTTTCATCATCTTCAGTAGCTAAACAACACTACATTATATCCATATCCATGTCATCATGTTGTCTTCTTATTTGTCAAATTTCCAGCCCTCTCTCCAACTTTCACTCACAATTCTCACTGCCATCCACATTCTCGTCCACTACCATCAATCACCAATTAAACTTACATCGCATATTTATAGCACAGACCACCTATGCGCAGGTATGCAAATGCATACCTACATGTAAATGTGTATGGCCCTCTGCAAAAACGGCACAACTCAAAATTTCATGTTTTTGAGTTATATAGCCGATGAGGTTTATAAGTGTCCATATTTTTCAGTGACAAATCGACTTGGCTTAGTTGTTACCAATTCGACAGGGGGCAGTTTTCCAATTGTCACAAAACCGAAGTAGGCGACATTTAATACTGAACAGTGGCACATGTCTCACATTTATCGTGAATATTGGCATAAGTCAAAAATTATCGATGGTTGGTGATAGTTTTATGTGAAATAACGACATTTTTCATATTGTGCCGTTGCTCAGTAGTACCTATGGAGTTATTTTCGTTTAGCTCCTTATTTTGTATTTTTTCTGTTTAACCCTTACTAAATATTTGGAAAAAAATCATAATTTGAAAGCTTACTAATTTTATCTAAAGAAGGACTGTAAATAATGCGGAATAATTACGATCTAAAGCATGTTTATTCTAAATTATGAAACGCAAAATTTTTAATTGGCTCTACTGAAAAATATGTAATCTTGACTTGTGTCGTTATTACAGAGGACGATCGATATGTAGATTTTCCTTGAAATTGTCAAATACTATTTGTTTAAATGTAACTTTGACAGGTATTTCAAAATTATGATTGATTTTGATTGACACATACACCAATGGCATGTGAACACGGGACGTCACGCCGCACAATGGGCCATAGACGGAAAAAATTATATTTGTGCTGGTCAGACTTATAGCCAGTTTCACGAAAGCAAGCTTAGTGAAAAATGATTTTTTAATTGAATTTAATATGGAAACTGACAGAAAAACAAAGCATTATTCACTTAAATTGCGTAAGTGAAACCGGCGGTTATTAGTTATTTTTATTACTTATACTATGGCGTTTGTGCTAAACGAGTTTTACAAGAATTGGTTGCAAATAAAATTTCAAATTTAAAAACTAAGCCTATAAAGACTGGGACCTAATATTTATTTAAAAAAATAAAAAATTTTAATTTTTATTATATTTCTTTATTTATTATATTTTTTATATTTTTATATTTTTGCTCTGAAGCAGACATAAATCTAACTAAACATTTAATGTTTATCATAAATAGAAGGAATATGTCATGTTATTTAAGAGGCCCTTATATTTCTTCATTGTCCGTCCAATATAAGTAAATATTTAATTTAAAGAATTAGATATTTTTTCCTCTTAATCAGGGGCCGAAAATAATAGTTATTTTTATTATAGTTGAACTTGGCCAAATATTTTTTAAGTCCGAAATAAAATTTTTTTCCGGATAATAAACAAACTAAATTA